CCCGCTTACCGCGGGCGCGAAAATGGCAGCGGTATGGAGGAACTTCGCTGAACGGTGAGTACGGAAGCCACTGGAATGCATTACACTAAGTTTAATGCGTTCCAGTGGCTTTTTGCTTTCTGTTTAACGAAGTTTTCACATAGCAAAGGTTAATCCGGAACGGATTAACCTCGCTATGCGAGGCACCACTGTACTAGTGTGTTGTTTTGAGTGGATACCACATTAGAGCCCATAAACCATTATGAAAGGTTTCAAGTGGTGGTCACTAAGCATAGCTCCCAGCCAAAGCACAGAGAGCACCATGCTTAGCTGCCTGTAGTCTCCTGGGGGCTTGGGCCATTGGCAGCTGCTGATGTCAATCCACAATAACAGTGCTGGAAGAATCCCCCAATTCTGTCCTAAAATTAGGTGTGCATTTCAGAATATTTATAAAATTAACAAATGTATGATTGTTGCAATTAATAATTCAACAACAAAGAATGAAAGAACTGGAACTACACTATGCACAAATTGCAAGCATATCACACTGTCAAAGTACCTCTTTTTGGTTTCTCACATTGCTTGGCTGAATATACCTGACAAACTTAAAGATTAGAAACTGCATTACAAATAGATCTCAGAAATTATTTTCTCAACTGCTGTATTGCACAATGTATATAAGTTATCAGCAACCTCAGATACAGTAGCTTACTACAAGTAGTGTAAAGAAGGGACTTCTCATGAGAAACTACAGTCTTTACCTTCCCAGGAGCAAAATCTTTTAGACCCACAATACTCAGTTTGTCCACTGGGTGGATCTTGTCATAATCAGCTGGATCAGCAAAAGTCAGTGGTAGGAGACCTTGCTTCTTCAGATTGGTTTCTGTTAAAAACATTGGCTTTATACAAACTGTTACAGGACACACTTGAATTTTGCAATATAACCTGCAGTTTGCCATCAGAAAACACTATCAGATAGCCATGCAAGCTACCCATTTGAAACATGATGGGCAGAAGCCTGCACTGTTCCATGCAAACTCTGGTTTGCCATTACACTAACTGGAGTTCAAGCTACTGGAAAAAACAGGTCTTAACATTTGCAAAAGAAGGTATTAGAATATATAAGCTTGCTAGAAGTCAAACCACTCCTGCAGTTAACTGCAGCAAGCAAACAGCAAGTGAACAGGACTGTGGCTAATGTGAACAGAACAAAGTTTCCCCATGCTAATAGCAAGATTTTTAACATCTGAACTCTTAACCAACTTTGCCTGTACTATTACAGCTTTGTACATGATTTCAGTTTCAAGCAGAAGGCATTTGGTTACTTTTGACATAACCACTGTAAATAACAGCAGCTTCTTGGGAAGAAAGCCAATAAATTAAAATAGATTTTGAAGCATAATTGAAGGAATTCACATAAAAAAGGATTCTTCAGCACACAATATAATTTTACAGCACTAGCAGAAAAGAACCCTAAGAACCATATTCTGCATAAAAATGATCAGCAACAGACAATTGGGCAAGTTAGTGAGGAGATAACATTCTGACTGCTAGGGTACACGCAAGAGGCATGCCTGGAGTCATACATTAGAAGGAAGCCAATGCGGAAAAGAATACAATCTTTTGTACACAGACACACGCACAAAAAGAACACCATAAACATTAAACATGGGGTTCCTTAACACTTCTACTGCAGCTTCTGTGACAGAAACTGTAACTCTCACCATGAATCCTTGCAAAACTCTTGACAATGATGGCTCTTCCTCCTAGATGCCGTGGTTCCAAAGCAGCATGTTCCCGACTTGAGCCTTCACCATAGTTTTCATCACCAACCACCACCCACTTAACACCATGTTTCTGTGAACAAAGCACACACATTCTTCAGTACTTCCAAGTGAAGCCACTGTTGTCACTATCCAAGACAGAACTCAGCCACAGGATTCATCATTTGTCATGTAGCTCTTCAAAGAATAAGATGACTGTGTACTATGAATAGTAACTGTGAAGCCACTTGAGGGCAACCAGCTCAAAATGGAAATCTATCCACCACCCACCCCAGATTTTTGCAGGGAAATAGAAAAAAGTCAAAATGCTTCCTTAGAATTCTGGTGGTTAAGAACAATGGACGTGGTCTTAAATCATTAGCCTTTTTCCAAAGAACTTTACATGAATAGCAGAAGAAAACTCTCTTATCCAGTAAGAGCTGGATGAGATTTTCATTGTGCCCCTGCATGCTTCTTCTCTTCAACATAAAACACTAATACTGTATTAGTGATACTGTGTATATGAAGTACAGTGGTGCCTCGACTTACGACCATAATCCATTCCAGAAGATGGACGTAAGTTGAAATGGTCGTAAGTCGAAGCACCATTTCCCATAGGAATGCACTGAAATGCAATTAATCCGGCCGAAGGAAAAAAAACCACCCTCTCCCCCAAAAAATCACTGCAAAACTCATTGGAAACGTGATTAATCCCTTCCGGGCGAAGAGGAGGGGGGAAAAGAAAAGTAATCAAATGCAAGACCCATTGGAAATGCACAGAAAACAAACGGAGCAGATCAGAAATGCACAGAGAACAAAGGGGGCAAGTTGGAAATGCAATGAAAACAAAGGAAAATGCAAAGGAAGCATGCAGGACCCATTGAAAAGGGGGGAACCCCCAAAAACAACCAACCCCCCCAAGACCCATCAGAAATAGGGAGGGGACCAAAAAACAAACAACCCCCCCAAGACTCATCGGAAATGGGAAAACAAACAAACAACCCCCCAAGACCTATCACAGCAGAGAAACATAAACCCCCCAGCTCAAAACCAAGCTCCAAAAACACCCAGAACAGTTTTTTAAAAAGCAGAAAACAGCACCTTACCTTACCAGGCACCCAAAGCCTCTCTGCAAACACACACACACACTCACTCAGAAACTGAAGGAGGCAGTCCCAAGCCTCCTCTGATGCAAACACTCTCTAACTGCTGGGGCAAAAGAGCTACAAAGAAGCAGCCTCATCGCCACCTACAGTTAGAAATTTGAATTTCCTGCCTTTTCCCCCTGCCTTTTTCTGTTCGTAAGTGGAAGCTCTGGTCACAAGTACAGTAGAAGCAAAATTTTGCAGCCGGAGCTGGTTGTAACTCGAAATGGTCGTAAGTAGGGACGTTCATAAGTTGAGGCACCGCTGTATTTCCAGCATTCAAATGTTGTACAAATATCACTCTTCATATTTTGGCTGCTTCATGATCTTTAAGCTTTTACTACTAGGCAGAGTGAGGCAGCTGCTTCTCAGGAGAAAGTTTTTGAATGTCAAAAGATGAGGAACTTATCAGGTAATCATGATCATTTTCAAACTTGAGGCCAGAGAATGTTTTTCACATTTTTGACCAGTTACCAAAATAGCTCAGGCTAACCCTGCTATCTTTTATCAACTATCTAGTAAAGTAGTGCACAAAAACAGCTTATCAGTAGAGGCATTTTCAAGGAAAAGGCAAACATGACAATTCCTAACCAGACTTGTCAGAATTCGGAATATAATTAATTATGTTACCATAAATGTACAACTACAGGGGTTTTTACATGGACTGGAGGGATGAAGAAAAGTGATTTTGTTAAAAGCCAAGATCATTAGTTGCTGGAACAAATGAAACAGTCATACACAGAGACAGACCAATGATTTGTCTAGTTTTGTCTGTCTGCATCAAAACTTGCAGGCCTCCCGACAAGAGTATCTTGAGAGCAAAAGGATTGCCTTGCCTGTTCTACACTTCCTTGGCAGTGACTCCCCACAGCGGCAAACAGTGCTACGTGGAGATAAAGGTTCCCCTTGACTCTAGGGGGCGGTGCTTATCTCCGTTTCCAACCCATAGAGCTAGCGTTTGTCCAAATACAATCTTCCATGGTCACATGGCCAGCGCGACTAGAAACATAAGGCCGTTACCTTCCCACCATGATGGTACCTATTTATCTACTCGCATTTTGCATGCTTTCAAACTGCTAGGCTGGCAAGAGCTGAGACAAGCGACGGGAGCTCACTGTCGCGTGGATTCAATCTTACGACTGCTCGTCTTCTGTCCTTTCAGCACAGAGGCTTCAGCAGTTTAACCTGAAGCGCCACCACGTGGAGATACCAAGGATGAAACACAGGACTTTCTGAATGCAAAGTTTATGATTCACTACTGAGATACAGACCTCTTCTTATCCAGTTCTCAAGGTACTGCATTTACATGAAGTTTGAGCATTTTAGCTAAAGTGGTTTTTGAAGAAGCAGTGAGACTGGGATCAAGTATGAAACTGTTAGGACCAAAGCCTTTTTTTTATGGCTAACAGAATTTGCCACCTACTCCGAGATTTCCTCATCTTCACTCTGGGATTGGAGTGTGGAACTGAATTCTGAAACTGACTGCCCAGAGGAGCCCTTGACTGCTCAGCGGCACCTAATGGCTAGAAGTGGAATAGCAGCCTCATGCTTCAACTGGAGCTCCTCCACTAACTATATCACATCTCAAACACATTGCTATTTGGTCAACTTAACACACTTGTGGCAATACAGAAGGGACGGATTCCACACACACCCATGTCATCTGCTTTACTGGGCTTGCATTTCAGTGAGAAGCTCTGAGAGAATGAAGAAACATTATTTGTGATAATGGGGACAGGAAGTATTCACAGAGCCTAAACCCAAGCTGCTTTCAGAAATCTTACCTTGTAGTAACGTGCTGTGTCAGGAACAGGCCCAAATTCCTGGGTTAATGCATTCCTTACTGAGTTGGCCTTTTCATTCTCAATGTTGATGGCTCCAATCAGTAAGTTGTTTGAAATGTTGTCCAGATGGCCACGGAATTTTAGCCATGGACCTGCTGCTGAGATGTGGTCAGTAGTACACTTCCCTTTCACCTGTGATATAAGAGAACAAGAGAATCTTACACAAAATAAATACACAAAAAAGCAGTGATTAGATAGCGTTGAACATTCATAACAAAGTTCTTGAAAACTGGGGAATACCATGAACCACCTTCCATGAAAAAGGTGGCTCTCCATGGCTTCTTCCTTTCCCAGTCCTACCTGGAGCTGCTGTAGCCTCCACAGAATGAGCTCTGTTGTTTAAGTCAGCTCTAAAGACATACCGGTAGATCCCAGCCAGCAGGCAACACATGGCCAGCTGGGACAGAAGTAAAGCCCTTTCCAAAAAATGTACCTCTAAACTTCCCTCAGTCTTTACCTTTATGAGGATCAGCATGTCTTCCAGGTCCTTGCCATCCCATTTGTCAAAGGGCTCAAGGAGCTGCAAGCGCTGACTGGTGGGGCTCACATCCACATGCTGGTTACTGCCATCCTTCGGGGGGTACTGATAAGTGTCCTGACCTGGATCAAATTCCTACAGGAAACAATTAAGAGGGGAAAAAACCTGCAGGCAGGAAGGCGAAGAATACATTCATGCAAAGCCATACCTCTTGCACTGCAAAAGTACAGAGGAAGGCTACCTAAGGGACACTCCCTACATCCCACAATCCACAATCTCTCTTCAATCTTCAAGTTTCATTTGAGTTTCTCTTTCATCTTGCCATAATTTTATTTACTGTGCCATATCATATTTTAATCATGTCCACAACAGCCTGGGACAAAAACTAGGAAGACTGAGAAAAAGTAGGAAGCTTACCAATTTGGGCAGCTCATCAGCATCAGGGGCCTCTAGTCTGAACTTCTTGCCATCCGTTCCTGTCAGATAGTCTACCTCTGGATTAAATTTCAGGGTACCAGCAAGAGACAGAGCTGTTACAATCTGAAAAAAAGTTCCATTACAAATAAGAGAAGCCAATATCCTTTATTTTAGTCATCGTTATCACTAATTTAAGGCTCTAATTTTAGAGTAATGTTGTGCCTCTACAACAGAAATGTCCACTACTCAAGTGCTTTCAGTATCAAATGGGAGAGTGGCTAAGGAGTAAATTGTTTTTACTGATCTGTAAACCAGGTGGTAAACAGTCTTAAGAAAGAAGCTTTTTTTTGGGGGGGGAACACATAAAACCCGATATTTCCGTTTCCTAAAACATTCAAAAACCTGACATTAGAAAAAGGAAAAACTCATCACGCTTTCGAGAGACTAATTATTTGTATGCAGTTCAAAGAGACTTGCTAATCAATAGATTTTAAAACTCTGAATGTCAGCCTGGACCTTGAGGTGAGTGCATTTTGCATGTGGATCTCCTTATCTGTCCTATAAGAATTGAAGCATAGCCATGTTCACTCCTCTCTGGAACCCCACCTCCCTGTGGCAGAAACCCAACAAATACTATACCTCTGGGGACGTCACAAAGGCATGAGTTTCTGGATTGGCATCATTGCGACCAGTGAAGTTTCTGTTGTAAGATGTAACAATTGTATTCTTCTCTCCCTTTTTGGTATCTTTTCTGGAAAGACCAGTAGAGAAAGAGCAACACACTTGTCAAGGTTAACGAAAGATATATTACTTTAAACTACACACATATTACTATTAGTATAATGCTACTGAACTAGTGTTTGTACACAACCAAACCATTAGATCATGAGAGGCGGGGGAAGCAGAACCAGCAAGTATTCAGTTCCTCAAAAGAGTATCCCAACGTTCTTCACCATCTAAGGAGTGATAATGAGGAGCCAAACAAGCCACAGAAACACATTCCATTGACACAGATCTCTTACCAAATTGAGAAATCTGGTAACAGATTTAAGTGACACTTTTGATTTAATCCCTAAACACTTGTGTCACCTGAAATGGGCTCAAAAACTGACTCAATGGTAACAGGATTATGACCCCTTCACGGATTGCTGCCTTGTCATGGCAAAGGGGCTTGAGTAATTCAGAGAAGCTATGGGTTATAGTGGAGAGGTCATAGTGGAGAGTGCATGACCATCTTATCTATCTCCTGAGAAATCTATATGTGGGACAGGAAGCAACAGTTAGAACTGGATATGGTAAAACTGATTGGTTCAAAATTGGGAAAGGAGTACGACAAGGCTGTATATTGTCTCCCTGCTTATTTACCTTCTATGCTGAATACATCATGCTTCAAAATAGGATTTCAGCCATAAAATGCCTGCAAAATAGGGTAATTACTTCTACATATAATCCATCTTACCTGTCCCACTGGCCTATACATGGTCCACAAGCATTGGCAAGAACCACTCCACCAACATCCCGTAACACTTGTGCCTAAAGAACAGAATTGGCCAAGAGAAGATTAAACAGCAGCCTTCACCCCATTAAGTGAGGAAATGCATTCCAACCAAAAAGTAGAACAATCACAAAAATACTCACATAGCCATCCCTTTCAATAGTGGCCCGGATCTGCTCTGAGCCAGGAGTGATGGTGAACTGAGATTTGCATTTAACCCCATGAGCAAGTGCTTGTTTTGCCACGGCAGTGGAACGCCCCATGTCCTCATAGCTTGAATTGGTGCAGCTACCAATCAGACCTGTGGACACAAAATACAGGAGAGGAATCTTTCAAAGTATATTGCAAAAGTATAACTGATCAGTAGTTATTTTTCCAGTCAAGACAATCTAAACATGAGGTCGCTCGTTAGGCTCATGCAACTTCTGAGGGTCTTGAGCAATGTTCCCTCTAATTTTCAGCCCCACTGGGTGGGGTTCTGCCCCACACATAAAATTTTACCCATGCACGCGTTCGCACACTCCCAGGGTCCCATCATTACCAGAACCAAAGTGGCTGTCAGTGTGCAGAATAAGAGGAGGGCTGCGTGGAGAGGGTTAGAGTTGCACAGATACACACCTTGGAGGGAACCTTGGTCTGGGGCTATTTTTTTCCTCCCTCAGATTTTAGAAGGGCTCCTGCACTTCCCCCTCCCTATACTAAATCATCATCATCATGAGACATCAAGTCAATTCTGACCTACGGTGACCCTCTTCAGGGTTTTCCAGGTACAGAATACTCAGAAGTGGTTTACCATTCTCTTCTTTTTGGAGCACCCTTGGACTGTGCAGCTTCCCAAAGGCCACACAGGCTGGCTCTACTTACAGGAGGCCCACTGGGGAATCAAACTCGCAACATCTGCCTCTGCAGCCAGACACCTAAACCACTGAAGCTATCCAGCCAGCTTCCTCCTCAAAGGGTTTTGCATCAAAAATTGCAAATTCTGCCCCCACAATACTCAGGGGAAGGATTTACCATCTGAAAGTAATTTCAGCAGCCCCAGGTCTATTTCAGTACTGTAAAACTTTCTTCTCAGAACAAGAAGTGAATGGCTGCTCATTTCTGATTTTACACCAAAAGTTTGTTTTTTGTTTTGTTACAATGGGTCTGGCAGTAAATTTGCCATATAAAATGGAAAACTGCACCTCCCCAGAAGGTTCTGGGGCAGAGTTTACCATTCTGTCCTCTTTGGAAGGTTGGGATAGGGTTCATGGGCATGGAGAATACACAGACACTTGCAGGTCTCACTTTGCCCACTCTAGCTTCAGAGTCTTAAAGCAAAGCTGAAATTTTTTTAAAGAGTCAAAATTGTACAGATAACTTGAAACTAAAAAGCTCAAACATGTTCCCTGACGAAGAGGAGATCATGGTGAGACACCTTGTTTTCACTGAAAGGCCTTGTTTTCACAGAAAGGTACTATGGAGCTCATTAAACTCTGAAGTAAGGTAAAGGTAAAGGTAAAGGTTCCCCTTGACATTTAGTCCAGTCATGTCCAACTCTAGGGGGTGGTGCTCATCCCCATTACCAAGCCATAGAGCCAGCGTTTGTCCGTAGACAGTTTCCATGGTCATGTGGCCAGCGCGACTAGACACGGAACACCATTACCTTCCCACCGTGATGGTACCTATTTATCTACTTGTATTTTTACATGCTTTTGAACTGCTAGGTTGGCAAGAGCTGCGACAAGCAATGGAAGCTTACTCTGTCACGTGGATTCGATCTTGTGACTGCTGGTCTTCTGATCTTGCAGCCCAGAGGCTTTTGCGGTTTAACCCGCAGTGCCACCATGTCCCCTACACTCTGAAGTAGATGCGACTATATGCCTACAGCCACAGAAACTTGTCCTTCTATAAACTAGTGCTGTAACTCACAACATTCCCGGAAGATTTTCTTCTGCAAATCTGATAAACACAGTATTGTCCCTCCTAGTATGATAAGAACAGAATAGGCTCTGAATAGAATGCTTACCGACAGATAAAAAGGGTCATTTCAGTTTAAAGCTGGAAAGAAACTACCTACTGTCAGAAATTAGAAAACCTGCAAGGGAAAATGCAACTCACCTACTTTAATATCCACTGGCCAGCCCTTCTTTTCTGCCACAGAGCCAATTTCTTGTACAGTGTGTGCCAGATCTGGAGTAAAAGGCCCATTGATAAGGGGTTTCAGCTTTAGAAAGGGGGAAAATACAACATGTTGAACACATTGTCAATATCATCACTACTTAATGCTATGATTTCTTTTGCACAATACCAACTCACACATTTTTTCACCACCATGTGACATTTTTAAAATGCTAAAATAGTAGATATGTGCACTATCTTCTGTGACAGACGATCCAGAAAAGCTGGGGTATGGGGGGTGGACGGGGGACAACACACTTCTCTATTAAATGATGGTTGCTCATGAGAATGACTCTAAATTTTCAAGAACACTATGAGTTAAGAGATCTGCAAGAAATCCACTTTCCTTATTTCAAATAGCAATATGAACACATCATACATATCAAGATGCAAGAATCTATCTTGTGTTTGAATAAGTAATACGTGCTAGGAAGGGTATGATGTCACATTTCTCTCTTTAACTGCATAGTATTTAAATGCCCTCATTTAGTCCCCTTTCTGAACATTTGTTTCTCAGATATTTTAGAAAACAGTAGCTTCTCTTACCTCACTTAGGTTAATTTCAACCAGTTGATCATAAGAACAGCCAGGATCAGGCTTCAAGTGCTCCTGAAATTCTTCTGCTAGATTAGCAATGTCTAAAATAAGAAAAGAGACAAAGCTGGAAAACACAAATCAAAATGAAATAAACCAATAATGATGACCTATAAAGAAAGAATTCCTTTTTCCAGAATCCCTAAAAAGATTCTGGTCCCTGGACCATCCCAGACCTCAAATTTATTTTGGACAAATATATCCAAGCAAGGCTGAAGAGTATAATGACAAACGAAACTCAAACATTAACGAAGATCAACGCCATAATTTTACCCCATCATCAACATTATGAGCCATTAGTTTAAGGCTATGTCTCATTCAGACAGCCAGAAATGAGCCATGAAGATACTCAGGTGTCTGTGTTTCAACTCTCTGTGCACAAAGACTTCTGCTTCCACCCTGGAACAAACCAGGTTCTGTTTTACAGTTTAGGCTAAACAGGTATTTTACAAAAACTGTAAAGTACCTGTTTAGCCTAATCATATTACAAGGCAGAACACTGAAAATTAACCAGTGCTTTCTCTTTTATTTGGCTCCTCTGTAAGTTCTTACCAGCCCGTCTAGTCTTGGACAAATATTTCTTCATCCGATGATTATAAGGGAAGATCGAAGTGGTGGCACCAATTTCTGCCCCCATGTTGCAGATAGTTGCCATTCCTGGAGTTGGAGAAATCCATAATATAAATAAGACAGTAATCTGAAGCAATAAAGTTATTCATAAGTGAGTTTATGCAGATTTCACATTATAGTTTTGCACATGAGTATAGAACACTCAAGAACCAGACACTATCGTACAGTGGTGCCTTGACTTACGAATGTCCCAACATATGAACATTTCAAGTTATGAACAGCTCCACTCGCAAAATTTTGCTTTGACTTGCAAACACAGTCTCGACTTACAAACCCCCCAAAAAAACAAAAACAAAACAAAACAAAACGTGGGAAGGCGGGAAATTTGAACTTTCAGTTAACCATCAGCCAGCGAAGAGGCTGCTTGTCTGCTACATCGCTCGCCCCAGCAGTTAAATACAGAGAGACCCTTCAGACTACCTACTGCCTCGTACTGCCTGGCACTGTACTGCCTGGCACTGCCTAGTACTGTACTGTACAGACTAATTTTTTGGCTTTTTTAATTTTTGGATTTGTGACTTTCTTTTTTAAAACAGAGAGACTGCCTATTCTGGGTGAGTACACAGGGGTTTTTCAACTTGGCGTTGGGCTAGGTGGCGGGGGTTGTTTCTGTGCTGGCTGTTGGTTTTAAAATCAGAAAACTGTTTGCAAAGGTCTGGCTGGCTGTTGGGCTCTAAAGCTAAGTGACCTCTCTTTTGTTTTAAAACGTGTTGGTGGGTGGGTTTAAAAGGTGCTTGGTTTGTTTAAAAATGTGTTTTGTTTAAAAGTTGCTTGGTTTAAAATGTGCGGGTTTAAAATGTGTGGGTTTAGCATGTGTGGGTTTAAAATGTGTTTTAGATTTCAAACTCTCTCCTCCGCCCATTGTCTTCTCTCTGTCTTCTCTCTTTTTGTGCTTAAAAGCACAAACCTTTGTCTGAGGGGTCTGTGTGCCCCAGTGATGACCTTCTTTCTTTCCTCTTTTCCCCATTGTTCCCTCCCTCCTTTCCTGCCCTTTTTTTAACCTAAATTCATCTTAGGTTAAAAGAAGAAAAATTCTCCCCCTAGTGGTAGAGGACGGCTTAACCGGTTTTGCATTAGTTCCTATGGGAACTAATACGTCAACTTACAACCCGTGGCTCGACATAAAAACAAAAAACATCCGGAACCGATTAATCGGGTTTCAATGCATTCCTATAGGAAATGTTGATTTAACTTACAAACATTTTGACTTACGAACTTCTTCTAGGACGGATTAAGTTCATAAGTCAAGGTGCCATTAGAAATAACAAAGGGTCTCTCAAGCCAGTGGGATTTCTGGGAATTCACAGACTGTCTTACACAGCTTCAAAAAAAATCTGAACTACTTCATACTGTATGCATTCCTCATTAATTATGAGGTTAGTTGTCCTATGGCATTTCATCTCCCTCTCCCCTTTCCATTAAATAAATATATATTAACCTTACCAAGTTTTACTTTATCCCTTCTGAAATGACTGGGAAAGTTTAACAAAATTTTGAAGTTCAGTTTGATTTCCAGTGTCTATATCCACAACTAGCTCTCAAAACAGGGTACAGAAAACAACTCAGTAGTCCACCTGTATCATAAATTCTGCGTGATTGTGATTACACCACTTCAAGACTATCAAAGCAGATTTTTTTTTCAGATTGTTGTCATTGTTTTCTGTATAATCCTCTATGGACTAAAACAGAATGCTGCAGGGGTCCTGTTGGGCTCCAGAGATAAATTTTCTCCTTATTCCAAGTTGTGTTTCTATTAATATAGCCATTAATATGCATCATGCAGACTTGTAATGCTGGGTCTCTTTAGTAGTGTTAATTTGGGATTATTGTTGTTATTTAGTCATTAAGTCGTGTCTGATTCTTTGTGAACCCATGGACCAGAGCACGCCAGGACCTCCTGTCTCCCACTGCCTCCCGTAGTTGGGTCAAATTCATGTTGGTCGCTTCGGTGACACTGTCCAACCATCTCGTCCTCTGTCATCCCCTTCTCCTCTTGCCCTCACTCTTTCCCAACATCAGGGTCTTTTCCAGGGAGTCTTCTCATGAGATAATTTGGGGTAACCTAGTACAAATAATGGATCCTAAATAATAATAAATTTAATTATTTTACAAAATATTCTGCTTAAAGCAAGATTTAAAATAATTATGTTGGCTCGAGTGATGAATCCAGAAGCTGAGGGCACTGAAAACCAAGATGGATCCCTTGACAAAGATGCTCTGTGATCAGTACAAATTATGCTTGTTTACATCTTACACATTATGCACTCACATTATTTGGTGATCTTTCAGTTGCAAATCCAGATAGGAAGGATGGTGTTTCTAGAAGCAGCAAAGATGCCCATGTTGACCTTCTCTTATTTCTAAACAAGCAATCCTCAGTAAACTACAGTGGTGCCTCGCATAGCGATGTTAATCCGTGCAGCAAAAATCGCTGCTAAGCGATTTTGTCACTATGCAATATTAAAAAGCCCATAGAAATGCACTGAAACCCCTTCAATGCGTTCCTATGGGCTGGAAACTGACCTTAAAGCGAAGATCCTCCATACGGCGGAGGATCTTCGCTTTAAGGAAGCGAGGAATCCGCACAAAAACACAGCAGGCGGCCATTTTTTTTACCCGGGGGCCATTTTGGAACCGCCGATCAGCTGCTAAAAAACCATCGCTTTGCGATGATCGGTAAGCGAAACAGGGAACCGATTATTGCAAAGCGAAAAAAACCCATTTAAAACATTGCAGAGATCGCTTTTGCGATCGCAAAATCTTCATCGCTATGTGGTTTCGTCGCTAAACAGAGCGCCCGTTAAGCGAGGCACCACTGTATGAGGGTAGTGTTTCCCCCATATATTCTAAGTCTGGCGTTACTCTTTTCCATTTGTTCTTCAGGGCTTCCTTACAGTCCAAAGACAACTACCAATCTGATGCCCTCAGTAACATGTCATAGGGCAACCCTAAAATCTATTATAGTAAATTCTGAAATTTACTAAAATAAAACTCTAAAAGAGTTCTTCTAAAATCAGCTTGTTACTGTTTTAGGCTGAAACACTAAATCCCATAGCAAACTTATATGGTCAAAGTAAATGATATATGACCACGGTATATGATTATGCATAGCATTCTAATGTCACCGCAGGCATATGAAACTGCTCACACTGCAGTGCTTGAAGGAAAGCAGTTAATCGCCATTTCCTTCTCACCATGGCAGTACTATCTTCAAGCAATTCAGCCACATTTTGCTACTGCTGAACAAATGAAATGATTTTAGCCAATATTTTCAAAATGTGAATTAACTTCCTGTAGAAGGCACTACCAATGGCTAAACAGTATCATTTTTGTTAACCAGGATTAGTAGTTCTTAGAGCATGATTATTTCACTTTTGAAGAAAACAAGCTTCATTCTAGCCAGCTGGAGTCTAGTCCCTGACAACCCAATCCTGACTCAACATTGTCGTACACAGTGTTGAGGCACAACATTTAGAGTTCCTTCAGAAGGGTAAGGAGAGAGAGAGAGAGAGAGAGAGAGAGAGAGAGAGAGGATAAAACACCATTGACAATGTGGTTAAGTAGGTTATAATGTTTCAAGTTCTTTCAAATTATGTTAGTGGCATCACTGAGCAATTTTTGGCTATGATTTGGTGTGGTTCACCTCAATTTGAATTCTGCCATTTACAGGAAAGAATGTAGGACTCTTCTGCAATTCTATTTTGACTGCAGTGTTCTTCTTTCAATCCCGAGGAAAACAAACAAGTAATATCCATGAGTCAAATGGATAGGGACTGCTCTGGCTATTACAAGTTAGTGAAAGGTTCTCCCTTACCTGTGCAAGAAATGGAGTCTATGCCTGGTCCATGGTATTCTATGATAGCTCCTGTACCACCTTTCACTGTAAGGATGCCAGCTACTTTCAGAATCACATCTTTAGGAGAGGTCCAGCCAGACAGCTCACCAGTTAGTTTTACACCAATTACCTGAAGAACCATCAATGAAGCCAAATTAAGTTAACAAGACAAAGCATCTCCAACGCATCTAACATTCATTCATTCACAGTTACTTAGGATACTTTGTGCTAGTGTCCTTACTGCAAATATAGGAAAGACAGACATTTCTATATCAGACATATGGAGCCAATCTACTAATAAGATTTCTAAAAGCAAGTCAGTTTTCTGAGATGTAGGAATGAAGAAGAGTAGAAATCTGTTGTTATCCAAATGCAAAGAATATATCTATATGATACTCTCTAGTTCAGCAGTTCTTAACATTTTCTTTACCACAGACCCCCTCCTTTGAACATCTTTTGTTGCTGCGGACTACCAAGACTTAACTCAAGATTTAAAACCCTAAAGTGCATCAAATATTTATTTAAAGTTTCTCATGAAGGGACTTCATATTTGGAGAGAAGGGAGAAATAAGTCAATCTGTTAATGCACACAGTCCTATTATAATATTTTACTGGAATGATGCCATACAAATCATTCCATACAAATTATGATTCCACAGTATCCTCCTGGATTTGTTATTGAAATTGGGGATCAGAGGTCTAGCATAACCTGGCTCTGTTCCTTCCTCGATGGCTGATGCCAGAGAGTTCAGCTCAGGGAAGCTGTATCGTCCCTGTGGACACTACAATGTGGTGTTCCACAGGGGTTGATCATCTCCCCCTTGCTGTTTAACATCTACATGAGGCCTCCGAGAGACATCATTCAGAGATTCAGAGTTTGCTGTCATCAGTATGCTGATGATAGGCAACTCTATCTCTCCTTTTCCTCTTCAGCAGGAGAAGCTGTACAGACCCTAGAATGTTGCCTAGCCGCAGTTATGGACTGGACAACAGTAAATAGGATGAAATTGAATCCTGACAAGACGGACATCCTGATCGGTTAGGAGGTCTGTTTCCTGACCTTGATGTGGTCACATTTCCCCTGAAGGATCAGGTGCGAAATCTGGGTGTGCTTCTGGACTCGGCCCTCTCAGTGGAGAAACAGATCCTGGCTGTGGCCAAATCTCCCTTTTTTCCATCTGAGGCAGATTGCACACCTCCGTCCCCTTCTCGACAGGAAATACCTATCAACATTGGTTCGTGCGTTGGTAATCTCAAGGATTGACTACTGCAATGCTCTCTACGTGGGGCTGCCCTTGAAGGTGATTCTGAAGCTGCAGCAAATGCAAAATGCAGTGGCCAGGCTGGTCATTGATACATCTAAATTTGACCATATTTCACCTGTCCTGGCTCTCTTGCACGGGCTGCAAGTATGCTTCTGGGCCAAATTTAAGGCCCTGATGCTAATTTAAAAAGCCCTTTATGGTTTAGGACCTTGCTCCCTGTCAGAGCGCCTTTTCTTCAGGTCATCTTCCTATTAAAGACCCGCATCTCCCAGTGTTTAATGTTGCGGGCGGCCACTCCAAAAGAGGCGCAGAAGGCATGAACCAGAAACCAGGGCTTTTTAGTAGTGGCCACTCAGCTCTATAACTCTCTTCCTGTGGAGGTAAGACTAGCCTCCATCCTCCTCAGCTTCTGCAAGCAAATTAAAACCTGGCTTTTCACCCAGGCCTTCCCAAGCACCACACTTTTGTAAAATTATGCTGGCCCATTGTCTGCCATCTTATGCCCCAGACAGGTGATTTTTTTGGGAAGGGATAGGGTTTGTTTTCTTTTAATATGTTTATGTTTTATATGATTTTAATAATACTGTATTTTGTAAGCTGCCGAGAGTAGTGGCATGTTCACTAAATGAGCAGGGTATAAATAAATAAATATTATTAAAGTATTACTTTATTATTATTATTAATTTATTTTTACTGTGCCTGAATAATAGTAATTGTTTTTAATTCCTGCTGGAAAAACTGAAATTATAAGCACGTAAAATTATTAATATGACACAACTATCCAAAAGTCACATAAAAATGAAAGGTAGAAAATTACATGAACATAATTTGTACGAAATTGTACCTCATTAAATACATGTTGGGTGGAAAACAAGGGAACATCCATATAATTCTAATTAACGAGAAAGCTAGTGCGGCATTCTACTTACAAGCCTTGTCATATGAGGCTTAACAGCTGACTCTTGTATTCTGAGTTCTAATTCTACATTTTTTCAAATGGTTTCTATACTTATTTTTAAGATAAATGAGCACAAAGAATGATTTTTTTTGCACCCGTATATTGTTACAAAAGGCATCAATACTTTCATAGCTCTCTTCAATAGTCCTGGGAAATCTGCTTGCGGGTGAACCCAGGAATTTGAAAAGGACTGTTCCTTGAACTGCTATTTCAGAGCACCATTTGTGGATATTTCTATGAGCTTGTCTTTCTCTGCTGCTGTGAGCCCCCTTAGTTTGTACATATTAACTGAAAATGGATTTCTAATCCAATTTTTGCGTGTATCAGGAACAGGAAAATATTCACAAAAACTATGCTGCAAATCTTCCAAATGTTGTGCAATAAGTGATGCGTCTCCCTCAGACAATTCTTCATCATAATATTTTTCCAACAGACATTCATATAATTAGAGTTAATTTTATCGGTGTCAAATACCATGTTAAACTTAATTTTTAACAATTCTTTTATTCTCATTGTCATAAATTGTAAAACCCTCATTTTACATATCTTCATCCATTCTTCACCATTTATTCTTTTTCCTAAATCTTGTTCCCATACTAGCTTCAATCCTTCATTCTCAATCTCCTCTTCTAAATCTAGCAGAAGTCTCAATTTTACTTACTACGCCCTTCACTGGCGCATTCATCTGAATATCTTCATATGATAATAGAAATTGTTCATAATTTGTACACTCTTTTCCTTTATAACATTTCTTCAAGCCTTCATAGATTCCCTGAGAGGACATCATGCACCTCGGGGTCCACAGACCATGTGAAGAACCTAGGCTCTAGTTCATATACCCCAGTTCTTCATGTGGCGGGAAAGCCTTTAGTTCTCACTATCTCACCTTTGGACATTTAAGCTCCCAAGGGATTCCTGCCATCACATCAACAGCATCAGCTCCACCAACTCCAATACAGATTCCACCTAAGCCACCACCATTGGGGGTATGGGAATCTGTACCAATAATCATAACACCAGGATAGGAGTAGTTCTCCAGGATGATCTGAGAAGGAAAGCAAGAGTTAGCAAAAGACCAGCAGACTTTTAAGGTGACAGACATTTTAAATGTTTGTACATTTTTCTGATACTACATCAGATTAACATTCGGTCATCTTGGACTGGCTGTTTTGAAATTATGAGTCATTATACTCCAGGCAGAAGGAAGTCAGTTCAGTAGTAAACAACATAAAAGTAGTCCTCTGTAACATTTATACATTTCTATTATTCAGTCTCCTCTGATTCTCTGCTCTCTGTAAACCCAGTCACAATGATACTAACAGCACAATAAATTCATAAAAACTCAACCAGTTAACCACGAGGTAACCCCATATAAACTCAACAGAAGCCCCTTGTATCATGATTAAGACTAATGTTGCAATAAATGAAATTAGTGTTATCTGGCCCAGAAATGCTCATAGTTTAGTTTATAGAAAAGAAAAATTTACAGACCTTTAACAAATGTTATTTCAGCAGGAAGATGACATGCAAGTGATTTTGTACAGAATCCAAATGTATACTGATCCAGGTAAAGGTAAAAGGTTCCCCTTGACAATTTGTCCAGGCATGTCCAACTCTAGGGGATGGTGCTCATCCCCGGTTCCAAGCCACAGAGCCAGCATTTGTCTGTAGACAGTTTCTGTGGTCACGTGGCCAGTGCGACTAGACACAGAATGCTGTTACCTTCCCACCGTGGTGGTACCTATTTATCTACCTGCATTTGCATGCTTTCAAACTGCTAGGTTGGCAGGAGCTGGGACAAGCGATGGGAGCTCACTCCACTGCGTGGATTCAATCTTATGACTGCTGGTCTTCTGACCTTGCAGCACCACCACTGATCTACCAACCATTAAGTGTGAGAGGCAAAAAGAACACTGCATATTACAGATTCATCATGCCCCCAGTTCACAAGTCTTCAAAGGTATAGTGAACAATTATGCATCAGATTACATTCTGACAATTGTAACACTGAATGGGCAGGTAAAAAAAATTTATTTATAGCAGTACAGCTGATCAGCCTGCAGAACCATGCATCCAAGAGGCAAAAAATGGCAAGTTAGCTATACTAGAAAAATGGATGTTTATCCATATAAAGCAAGCCACGAAGTGTAAAGAGGTATTTCTCAAGAAGGGGGAAATCATGTGTGCACTCTTATGTAGATGGTCCCAGACTCAATGTTATTATCCAGAGGAACTGAGAAGCTTCTGCCTGAAACCTGATCAATATACATAGTAATGAAACAGACAAATTGTCTCACTCCATGTATTCTCACTCAGTTTACCTGGTGAATGATTCCTGATCCAGGTTTCCAGAAGCCCACTCCATATTTGGCACCTGCTGTAGCTAGGAAGTTGTATACCTCTTGATTAATATCCTGTTCACACACAAAATGAAGCATACCTGTAAAAATTCTTCATATGATTTTTATTACAGAGAATAAAGACCAGATGCACATCATCAGAGCCGCCTTGGATCCCCTTATCGTGAGGAAGGCAGCATATAAACAAAACAAAATAAAACATAAAAATTATAGTTTTTTCCTCAATATTTCACCATATAGTTATTTTCTTTATGGATGACATGGCTGTAAAATGCCAAACAAATTTCATAATTTTATACCACTCAATTTAGAGGATTTATATCTCATCTTTCTGCAGTTTCTCAGGGTGCCTTCCAAAATGTTGAAACTACAATACATAATCTGATTCTTTCTCCTCATGAAATTCATTAGTGACTCCTCCACTCTGATCAATCTGTACATGGTTATGCTTGAATTAGCAGAAGTGACAACTGTACAAGGAAGCACAAGTAGCAGCTTGGAAGGTCAATTAAGCTGCATGTACATCAACAACTGCATTGCAGGGATCCTGAAACTACAACACAACAAAAGATGTTGAACAGAACTGTGAGATCATTGGTACAGCTAGGTGAAATGGAAGAATGTTTGAGTAGAAGGCCTACTGCAAATCTTCACAGAAAGTGAAAACTACACTAATAAGCGTTCTATTTATATTTCAAATGTAATTGCCACCTCTTCTACTTTACACAGTGACCAAAAGTTCCTCACACAGCTACACTAGCACAGCAGGAATGTTAATGTCAGCAGCAGACAGCCATAAAAGAGTCCCTTTGATTTCATGACTTCACTTCACTGAATGCTAGTTGCAAATAACCCAATACTGAAGAAGTGGTTCTTTGATCAGTGGCAATCTACCACTGCCAGTGATGTCATCCTCGCCATGCAGACTTAGCTATGGCAATGTCTGCACAGTGCATCTGTCTCTCAGACCCAAACATTCCAGTTTTACCTTCACAGTATTTTTTTAATTGAAGTGCTTGTTTTAAAAAACTGCTAATTTAATGGAAACCAATATTTTGCACCACTATTTTTGCATCATTATCTGTATCTGCCAAAACCAGATCCAAAGCTCTTGATGCGCTAACCATGAGTGGTGGATGCTTCAACCTTAGATGTACAACCTAAACAGAGAAGGCATGATCTTTATCTTCTAGCCATGGACCATATGAGAAGACAGACTTGGAGCTCTTGAAGACCACTGAAAAGTACATGTTTTGTGTTAAGACTGAGAACAAGTGCAGTCCACAAGGGGGACACAAATAATGTTGTTGTTGTTTTTACAAAAACATTCCAACTAAGATTCTTGTACAACATTTGACTTCAAGATACAAAATGAAGACTGTTACTTCCAATGAGAATGGCTGTCTTTGAAATGAAAATATTTTGTGTTCATGAGTTAAGATTCTCTTTGAACCAACTCCTGATTCTGAGGTCATCATACACCAGCCTATAAATTATTTACATCAACTATTCTACCTATTGGCAAGTGCTTACAAAATCAAACTCTGAAAGTTCATTACCTGTTTCTGTATCCCTTTTCACCTTGCCCCTACCCCTGCAACCATATTCACTGTCTATATATTCCAGCAGCCTAACTATCATACTCCAAATAGCTAAGTGGGTTGTAATTAGGAATGCTATTTTCATATTTCAAGGACTCCCGTGTCCAGGTGAAGTCTGGCAGTACAGTAAGACTGCCTGGGAGTTGCTGCAAGGCTGAAGAGGAAGTGTAGTGATCTTGTCTGTGAGAATCTATACAGAGAGGAAAATTCTGGAAGTGGGACATCACAAATAACAAGTAAAAGAAAGATTTTGTCACTGCCATTCAATTCTGTTCCACATGTTTCAGCTTTGAAGAAAAGGGTGGGAGTCCTGCTGCATCACAGGGCTGCCTGGGAGTTGCTGTGAGGCTGCATGGGTAAGGTAGTTCCATGAGAAACTGCCTATTCTGCTCTTCCTGTGCAGCCTTGCAGCAACTCCTAGACAGCTTTGCTATACTGCCAGTGAGCAGCAGAGCTCCCAACCATTACTTCAACGCTGAAAAATGTGGAACAGAGTGGAATAGCAGTGAAGAAACCTCTCTTTCAACAAAAACACTTACTGAAATAAATCCATCAGTCCTAGTAGTACTAGAATATGGGCGAGAGGGTGGGTTACACATGCTGGAACAGACTACTAATGCACCCATCTTTTGGGAAATTGGAACCTACAAAATATTTCATATTTCACACATTTAACTCCTACCATTGAGGTTCTCGCTGCACCACATTTATTTAGAGGAAACTTCCAACTTCACATCTCCCATTTTGGAGCATTTTTGCTAGATAAAAAAATCTCAGAAACAATAACTCACAATATTCTTGGTAAACCTGATATGTATGGCCATATAGAACCGCCTCTGCACAGTAGTAACTATCATGACCTTGCTAGAGTTGATATACTACATCAGGCTTGATGGATCATACAGCAATGGAAGCCTGTTTAACAAAACAGTTAATTTAAATAATTACCTTTGCTCTTCGGAGATCTTTGTCACCACCTTGCTGTGCTTCAATAAGGTGATCACAGTGAATGGTTGAGGGCACAGCCACTTTGGGCAACCCACTGCTGATGAACTGCAGCATTGCCATCTGAGCAGTGGCATCTTGCATGGCCACACGGTCTGGCCGCAGACGTAGGTATGTCTTGCCTCGCTCAATCTCTTGCTTGACAGGGTCATCTAAGTGGCCGTATACAATCTTCTCTGAGAGGGTGAGGGGACGGTCCAATCTATTGGAAAATAAACAGAGGGAACTTTACATTTTCAGGTTATACATTTTAAAGATGTAGTACATTTCACTTATACGTAACAGAGATGCAACACCACCAACAAAAATCCTTCTTGTGGCTTCTGCTTCACCACTATTATTAAGAGGAGTCTTATCCCCAGGATCTGTATAAAAATACATGGAAGATTGAAGTCAACATAGGAGATAATGGCCACACAAACAGCCTCTCCTGATGCATAAACTCTTAATGTGTTTAAAGCCTAAATGTGGTAAATGCAGCAGGCAACAAAGGCAAAGCCAAGAGGGGAAACTTGCACTCCACACAGAAGAGCACGAAAGAGGGTCATAATTCTGTGATCTACTCCTACTTTCCTAGTTAAGAAATCAAGACTATTATGCCTGCACTGACTCCTAAAAGGATCCAGCCCTCGTAACTCAATGTTTCAGCTTCCTTAACTCTCATTTAATTATTAATGTTGTATTAGATTAGCAAAAGAGCTAATACAGAACAACTGTTGCCCTTTCATTCACTCACAAACCCTCTTACCGTTTTCTCACAATGTTGATGTTTTTTTCAAGCAATTCATACTTTACATATTCACTGGGCTCAAATTGGCTCATAGCCACATTGGCCCTCTGGCACAGGGAGGGAGTGACATGGTACCTCCGTACACATTTATTCAAGGCTTGCTGAAAGAGACAGATAAGAGAGTGATCAGCCCTCACCAGCAGCATTTTCAAGGAAATACAAATTCTACAATGAGAAAATCAAAATACTTTCAGTTGAGGAACGCCAAGCATCAAGATACAGGACAATGACTGCCTCCAACAAAACTTCTGGGAATTAAGCTGCCAGAAGGCTGTAAGCTTTCTCCACCCCCGATATTAAGGCTGTTCCTCAGCACTTCTAGTTTGCAGTACCTCTGCAATGTTCCATACCATGCACAACTCAATCCCAATTCTTGCCAGAAATCCATATTTCAAAGCCTGTAATAAAAAAAATGACCCATATACACTGAACAAGACAGAAAGGTAACAGACTACCCAGCACCACATCTGACTGAAGCAATAGCAAACAAAAACACAGCTGGTACCTCAGGAAAAATATTCTAACCTAGTGGTTGTTGTGGTTTTTTCGGGCTCTTTGGCCTTGTTCTGAAGGTTGTTTTTCCTAACGTTTCACCAGTCTCTGTGGGCGGCATCTTCAGAGGTCAGCCGGCCTTTTCAGAGGATGAGCACAGAGTGCTGTCCTCTGAAGATGCCAGCCACAGAGACTGGCAAAACGTTAGGAAGAACAACCTTCAGAACATGGCCAAAGAGCCCGAAAAACCCACAACAACCATTAGATCCCGGCCGTGAAAGCCTTCGCAAATACATTCTAACCTAGTCTTCTACCTGCAGGTTTTCACTACATGCTGCAAAGTGGGGAGCCACTTAAGATACCATTTTATAATTGTTGTTGTTGTTTAGTTGTTAAATCATGTCCGACTCTTCATGACCCCATTGGCCAGAGCACGCCAGGCCCTCTTGTCTTCCACTGCTTCCGGGAGTTTGGTCAATTTTTTTTTTACAATTATACTCCTCTATCTCTGTAGCATGTGTGGCCCCTGCCAAAACTGCCCATTTTTATCCAGAATACAAAGAACAGGCTTCAGCAAATCATCTGCCAGACTAACCTATCTTACAGGACAACTATGAAGATCAAATTCTATTCGTGATGTCATTGAAGAAACAGGATAAAAGTATAAACATCCTTAATTTGGTTTCATGGAAATGTTAGGATACTTTAATTGAGATGCCACATAGAGGAGGATAATTAGAGATATACATGTCTTATTTGCAGTACTGCAAGAGAGATTACTGGAGCAACACAAGTAACTATGGCCTGCATTTAACAGGTAAGGATTATGCTTCAAGTATAGATTAGCACCATTATCTGAAGCAGTTAGTAGCCCTGACAAACCTTTCTATGTTTGCATTCTAGGACTAGATTTAACATAGATCTGGAAAGTTAATAGTGTAATCCTAGGCATATTTACTAATTAAATGCGAGTCCCTAACAAAGGCACTTAAGAGTGAAAGCTGTTTTCTGTCTTTATATGACAAAAGACAGCTGAAGCTCTGAAACTGAATGTTCAGTTCTGAGGAAAAAATAATCAATGCTACAACTTCTTGTTTTTTGTTCAAACCTGTATTGAATGTCAGTGCAGAATGCCTCTAGAAAGAGGAAGCAACTTAAGACTCTCATAATGAATCAAGAGTCTCCATAAAGATCAACCACTTCATGGAATCTGAAATACACTTTTAAGCATTCTGAATGCTGGTATTGTAATATGTCTATTCCAGTGCATGTTGGAACACAACTGGAATTCAATTCACAACATAACCCAAAAAAGAAAATAAAAAATTGCATTCAAAGGAATTCTCATTCATTTTTCTACCTCAGTTGACATGCAAGATGGCTGACAACGACACATCACTTCAAAGCCATTACAGTTATGAACATAATATATTGGGGAACGCCTGTAATGCATTTATGTTAATAGGTCTTGCACCAAAGGAGTGGATCCTATACTTTCTAACTGTGAACTATTACTACTCATAACAGGATTCAATTACAGTTTAGTATACACCATTTTAGGACAAGCCTGCAAGTGTGAGTCAGCATATAATTCTTTCAGTATTTGTTTTAAACCATGTTAAGTGCCTGATAAGATTCTGGAAAAAATAATAATATGAAAAATGTTAACTCTAAAAGTTTTAGCACAATGACTCAAGTGGCTTGAGGCTTAATGGAAAATTTTGCTGGATACCCATTTCATAAGTAGTATCTCTATGAATAAAATATTCACTGCTATTTTATGTTAACCAGGTTATTATATTTTGATAGGATGACCCAGTGGAAGGTCTGCATAGTAGCAGAACACTAGTTTCATACTAAGGAAAAGACAACCAAAGGACTGGGAAGTAGAAGAGGAGCCTTCTTTTAACAGCAGAGTAATGAAAATAGCTATCAAAAAGTCTTTCACTCCTCTCCATTTTAAAAGCATCAGTTCCTAGGATCTTAAGTGACCTAAGACAGGAACTACTTCTCTACACTTTCTAAAGATCCTGATATGTAACAACTTATCTCCAACTACTTGAGATAATTACCTTCCTTAAAGTCACTCACTAATTTATTTATTTAATTTACAACCCAACCTTCTGTCAAAGGTGGTGTTTAAGGCTGTACTCTTTTATGACTCACACATTGAGCAGAAAGTTCATCTGATCACACCAGAATACTGCAGTCTAAAGTTTACTAAAAAGTGTAGCAGATGCAGAATTCTCACTGTTGATAAAAGTGTATTAAATAATTAGGACTACCTATCATTAAATGAAATGCACAGAAAATCTTCACAGTGTTTCAGTAGTACACTTTACTATCATAAGAAGACAAGTATCTATAGAAAATGAACTACTTATCTAGCATCTTTGGTTGAACTGCAAAATGGATATCCAGTTGACATGATAGTTACCTTAGCTTTCTTTGGCACAATTAGTATTTGCTACTATACTATGCTTCTTAAAAACAGACTCACAATACCTCAATTATGTTTAGAACAACAAATGATAATTTGACTCATGAGCTTTAATCCCATTCTGGAACATACTTTTGGTACCATTTTTATAGCATATTGCAACAGAACTATTTCAAGTTAAGCATTTACCACTTTATTAAAATACATATCTTCAACTTTAGTAGGTGTACACAGATAAAAAAAGGTTTCAGCATTATAATCTCAAGACAATATACAGCTATTTTGTGCAGCCTTTTAAAAAAAGATAGCCAGCTGGATAGCTTAGTGGTTTAGGCATCTGGCTGCATAGCCAGAGGTTGGGAGTTAATTCCTGTGAGTAGAGCTAGCCTATTGAGCAAGCTGCACAGTCCCAGGTCACCCCCAGAAGAAAGGAATGGTAAACCATTTCCAAGTACTGTATTCTCTACTTGGAAAACACTGAAAACTGTCACCATAAGTCAGAATTAACTTAATGGCACACTATTATTGTTATTTTAAAATACCCCATGTCTCTAAAGAGAAATTTTAGTCTTTATGGCATTTATTTTCTGATGCATAGTCATGTTTTGTAGAAGAACTATTATAACTATTCTGTAACATTATCAGTAAAATGCCACTTACAGCAAGCTTCCTCAATCTGGAATCTTGTAATTATTATGGACAATATTCATGACATCTAGCCTGTTTGGGGTTGATGGGAGTTGCAGCAGAAAACAGCTAGATGGTGTTAAATGACACTACATTATTTGTGATGTTTTAAAGTGACACCTAGAGTGACATTGCCTTATAGCAATGAAATCTGCAAGCTACTATATTGCAAGAAAACTTTTTTGTGCCACTTATTTCGGATCTTACATGAAAAAAGTAAGTTAACAGTTCTATCACATCTACCCTGTTTCCCCAAAAATAAGACCTAACCTGAAAATAAGCCCTAGTATAATTTTTCAGGATGCTCATAATATAAGTCTTACCCCCAAAATAAGCCCCAGTAAAGTGTAACCCCACCCTCCACCATTGTGCATCAACTAGAAGAAGATGACATGACTGTATTTGAATCAATGTAGATTGTTGTACATGAAAAGAATAAAACATCCCTTGAAAATAAGCCCTAATGCATTTTTGGAGCAAAAACTAATATAAGACCCTGTCTTATTTTCGGGAAAACATTGTAGCCAGTAGAAAGTACTACTGAATTCAAACAGACTTACTCCTATATCCAGCAACTATTCGAAAGTACCTATCTGCCATCCAAATTAGCAATTGCTGAAAATGAGGAATCCTTACAGAGTAGTCCCACAATGCTACAGAACACTCTTAATAAGACAGAACAAGAGAGCTGATCTTTTAGAAACACTTATTTTACAGATCATATAGCATGAATTTAGAAGTAACCTGTTTTACACCTACACAAAAATATCCTGCTCCCAAAATAAATGTTAGAAGATACAGAAGATCACCTGGAAGAGATCTAACATAGAATAATAATTCCTAGCCCACAGGGAGTAAACACTTCCCACAAAGCAACATTTCACTATACAGTACATAAGTACATGGATTTAATAAGTAAAGAAAAATCTGCAGCTGCAATTATTAATAAAATAACATAATATTCTTGAATAATTTTTCTCCCTAAGGTCAAGCTTTCTGAACACTCCTGGCATAACCACTTTATACGACGGTAGAAAAAAACACACCCCAAAGCAGTGTGGGCTTTAACACAATCGAGCCAGGGATGCCTTCTTGTCAATCTCATCCACTCTAACTCATGTCGCCCTGAGCAAAAGGACAAGATGCCAGTCACCTTGCCCTCACCTTGGCAACAAGGGTGGAGGTAACAGGCAAAGGTCACCTCGGAAAGGGAGCAAGAAGCCAGGATGAGAATGCAGGCATAACGCGTTAGATCTTCCCTTGCTATTACTGTACTAGGCAAAGACCGCTCCTTGCTTCCAGGGCGCTACGACGAGGATCAGCATGGGGGACGCACTGACCTACAGCGGAGAGAGGGTATGCTAAGGCCCAGGAAAAGAAAAGCACGCGCAGTCTTTCAAAACGGACCACCAGTTGCCTGCGCCATTCACAATTCCTGCCCCTTCTTCTATTAACAAAGGAATCTCCAACCACTGCACCCACCTGCAACCGACCGACTAGGACATAGTACGGCGCCATTTTGTTCACTGACAAAGATGGAGTCGCCTAGCGATAACGTCACGCACTGCTTTTAAGAGGACGTCCATTATAGGCGGAGCCTACGGGCTGCCCATCAATTTTCCTTTTTAAGAAGCAAGAAACAGCGTCCCCTTGACGTGTTCTGAAGAGGCAGCTGAATTCCGGAAGCTTGGCTTCTGGACAGGAAACAAGTATATTTTTTCTGCGTCGATTGCGTGTCAACTATAGAGCATACAAACACGCATCGATAGAGTAATCCATTGCTTAGTCTGAATAGAAAACTTCTGGACTTAAACGTTTCTTTTCCTCTCATGTCCTCTCTCACGAAACAGGAAGTGGTTGCCCTCAATAATCAAAGAAAAAAATCTGAGATATTGGCATAGCTATGATTTAGCAGCAACAAACAATACGACGACTCATGAAGCACTAACAAGGACAGCAGCTTGCCTGCTTTCTGATTGCTTATGAAAGATCAACCCAGAGGAGTGTTTAAAATTTTCCATATTATTGTGAATGTCATTGCAAATATTTCCAATTAGGTAGCCATATGAGTTTGCCTTGGCATTTGGACAAAATTAAAGTTTTCCTTCTTTTCTCTCCTTTTAATTTTACCAGCATTGCTAATTTTAGATAAGAAACAAACAAAAAGAAAAAACAGAAAAAACTTAAAGACTAACTGCTGTATTTTAATGTGTGCTTTCTCAAACATAAGAGTGAGACTATACAACTGTCATATTCATCTCTGACCAAATAACCAGGTGAGGATGCAATGGTTTGTTAGTAAAGGAATGTAGCATTTCACACTTAATAATGACTGTTATTCAAACCTTTTAAGTGAATCTCCAGCATCCCTACATAGCTTATCTCAGCTGTTTCTATTTGAAGCCATGTTTTGTAATTGTTTTGAGTTTTGTTTCAGAACAGTGACTTCTAAGTTTGGAAAAAATCAGAACAAAGCCGTATGGTCCTCAAAACAATACAAATGTAGAAACAGGTGATACATTTATTGGACCATTAAGAAAAGAAAAGAAAAAATAAAGCAAGCTTTCAATGATAATTTATCTTCCTCAGGCTGTACACCAGGTTCTTGTTGGTAGCTCCAAAATTATAGGTTTATATTAAAGTCCCAAAGGTTTCATGGCTGCTGTTGGGGGCTAGGTGGAGCTTCTTAGCTGGAGATTTCTGTGGGCTTTCAAGTCCAGGTAGTCTGAAATATTTGAAACGGGCTTTTATGGATTTATGTCTATTAATTCTTTTACATGGAGATTGTCCTGTTTGTCCCATATAGAGTGCAGAAAGGCATTACAGTATTTGCAAAGAATGACAAAGAACATATTAGCAGAACAAGTAAATGTGCACCTAATGTGTGTTATATCACTGAACCTGGTAATTGTGTTACCAGAACATACTGAAATATTTCTGGTCAGTTACAACTACACAAACACAATCGGTTTTCAAATTCCTCATTGATTTCTAGGGACACCTCTCACTAGACGACCAACACTAGTTCAACTCTATATGAATCTACCAGTTTAAGTCTATGATACATTTTTTAAGGTCTAGGCCTGCCAATAACAACAGTTGCAGAAAGGCAGAACCGTTTTGGGTCCTGGAAGATATATATATCTATTGCAGACACCTCTCAGAGACGTCCTTTCCGCCTTAGTCCTACACTTTCTAATGACAGTTAAAAGATTTGCCTCAGAAATTGTTTTTTCTTCGTGTTACTTAAAATTTAATAGCGAGTGAAAAAAGATCTGCTTGGGGTGGCGCTTTACTCTGTCCAGGATCTAGGGGGAGGGGTCAAAGGGAAAAGGGCAAGCGTAACGGCGCGTGGTGGGGATTCTGAGGGATGGCGAAGCATCATCCGGATTTGATCTTTTGTCGCAAGCAGGCCGGCGTAGGTGAGGAGGACGGCTTCTTTTCTCTCTTTGCCTCCCTATGCTGGGGAACAGTGGTCGGGGTGGTGCTGGGAACGGGAGGGAGAAGCCAAATATTTTTGGGGTGAAAGTCGAACGGTGGGGAATCAAAAGGTACATCCTTAACTCCGTTGGACAGCTAAGTAGCATGAACGCTTGGGAATTGGAAAAACAACCTCCTCACACTTACCATAATTGTGGAGAAATAACTTCGTTCTTCTTTGGTACCGACACGTGAACTGGGAGTTAACTATTAAATTGACTGAGCCTTGATTCAGAAGTGACGCGCAGTGATGGGGTTGTCGTTGTAGAAGGGGTAGCTGTATTAGTCTGTGCAAGGATTGTAGATTTTAAAAATAAGAGTAAGAAGTTAAAAAAAGAAAAACGTGGTGGCACCTTAAAAACTAATTTTTATATTTCTTTAATGTGAGTTTTTATGAACAAGTCACTTCATCAGACGTAAGAGAAAGATTCAGCGTGACAAATATTTATATGTGCCATCAAAATATAGATATCAAAATACAGAGATCGTGGTTGACGGGTAAGAAAGTCAGTAGGCGTTTAACATTGTAGTGATAGCATCTTTGATGTGCAATTATTTCATTGAAGCTTGTGCTGTAAAGAATGTCAGAACGCCTGTCATAAAATAACAATGGTAAAGTAATATAAATGTTAATTAGATTGGCTTTTTACAATATTTAAGGTGCCACCATTTTTATTTTTATTTTTGGTTTTTAAAATTTTTTTACCTGATGTTGTGTAGTCCTAGACGTATTAATACATAGAGTTTCTAATGGGGGCGACGCACAGTTTCTTTTTGTCAGCACAGTAGGTGGCAGTGGTAAACCCCTGCTCAACCTTATGATGAGACTGTCCAAAATGGAACAAGAGATAGAACTGGAAGATGAGACTCTCAGGTTAGAAAGCAGTCAATTAGCTAGTGGAGCAAAGGCAAAAAAAAAAAGCACTGTTGCTAATAACACATCTAGATTATAGCTGATCAGCCATGTCATGGCTGATGTGCCTAGAAGTGAAAGGAGAGTCCAGTGCTGCACAACACATACAGTTGGAACATGAGAAGTACAAATCCAGCTATGCATGAAACTGTAAAGTAAGAAATTGAATGTATAGACATTGCAGTGCTTGATGTCTGTGTACTAAAGTGGACTGGAATGGGGTATTTTCAGTCAAGACAACTACAAAGTGTTCTACTCTGGTAATGACAAATCCAGAAGAAATGGAGTGGCTCTAATACGGAGGCAAGATGTAGCACAGGCAGTTATGGGCTATAATGCAAGGTCTGACCAAACAATGTCCATCAGACTCTGTGGAAAACCTATCAACATAACCAGTATTCAGGCCTATGCTCCAAATACCAATGGTGAAGATGAAATTGAAAGCTTTAATGCACACATCCAAGAGAAAATGGATCACACACAACAAGATATGCTTATAATCATAGGTGACTGGAATGCAAAAGTAAAGGGGGAAAGGGAAAAACAAATGTTGTTGGAAATTTTGACCTGGGGGACAGGAATGAAAGCAGGAGAAGGACTTACTATACAGTATATAGTTCTGTGAAGCCAACTATCTATTCATTGAAAATCTCTGCTTCAAACAACCAGATAGACAGCTGTACAGATGGGCAATATAGAAACCAAATAAATGGTGAAATTGGAAACAGGAGATGGAGAAGCTACATTCTCTTCCAAAACAAGACCATGGGTGAATTGTGGTACCGATTATGAACTTTTAATATCCAAAAGTGGAGTAAAACTGAAAAAGAACATTAAAGGAATTGTAGTGCCAAAATACAATTAAACCACATTCCTGATTATTTTAAAGTCCACACAAGGAACAGATTTTCATTGTCAAACTCAATAGGCCATGAACTAAAAAATATGGAATAAAACCAGATATTATAAAATGTTATCAGGGAAGAATGCAAAAAGACAATTCCTGAAGTAAAAAAGAAAAGAAAAACCTAGATGAATAATGGAAGAAGTACTTAACATTGAAAGATGGGTGAGAGTTAAAAGAAAAACCTGGCAGAAATAGGGTCAGAACTCCGAATGCAGTTTTTCAGCAACTGTCACATAGGGACAAAGAGAACTATTACAATAAACACTGCAAAGAAATGGAAGGGAACAACAAAAGGGGAAGAACGAAATATCTCCTCCAGAAGATCCAAGGAAAAGTTAAGCCTAGATTAGGAATGTTAATTACCAACAGGGAAGCGCATATATATAATTAGGAGAAATTAAAGAAAGGTGGAAACAGTATACTGAAGACCTATACAAAAGAGATAAAAGAATAGCAGACTCCTTTGAAAATTGATTCTCTGACAAAGAACCTGAAAAAGTTTAAAAATGAAGTGAAAGCTGCTCTGAAAGAAATAAATCACCAGGGCTAGATGGAATACCAATAGACTTACTTCAAGCTAGACTGAATAATAATATAATTTATTGTCATTGTAAGTATATACACAGTATACCCATACAACGAAATTCACATTCAAATTCTGCTAACAAAAATATACCGTATTTGCTGCCGTACTAGGCGACCGGCCGTATTAGACGACCCCCAAAATGCGGCACCGGGACGAGGTGGGGGCGGCAGGAGGAGGAGGAGGAAGAGGGGAATCGGGGTGGCGGGCGAGCGAGCGCGTGCTGCTCCCCTCCCTCCATCTGCCTGCCTGCCCGCCTGCGTTCCTCCCCAGCGGCAGGAGGAAGAGGAGAAGGAGGAAGAGGGGAAACACGGGTGGCGGGCAAGCGTGCGAGCGCGCCGCTGGCTGACCAGCGAGAGGGCGAGGAAGAGGGGAAGAGGAAGTGGGCAGGTGGCGGGCATGGCAGGCTCTGCTTCCCTCCCTCCGGACCAACTGCCTGCCTGCCTGCCTTCCTCCCCGGCCAGCGCGGCCCCGTGTCACTCACTCGGCGGCAGCAGTGGCGGCGGCTCCTTCCTGGCACCTGGCGTACAAGACGACCCCCCACTTGGAGGCATGTTTTTTGGGCCCCAAAAATCATCTTGTATGCCGGCATATACGGTAACAGTAAATATGGGAAATGAAGCAATGACCCACAGACTGCCAATGTTCAATATACATTCTAACCCCCTAGCAACTTTAATGTTAACAATGAAGTAATTGAGATAGTGATTTTTTATACCTTCCTCAGTCACAAATCCAAATGGAGACTGCAGCCAAGAAATCAGAAGACTGAGACTCAGAAAGGCAGCAGTGAAGTTACAGTGGGGTCTTGACTTAAGAACGGCTCGAGGTAAGAACATTTTGACTTAAGAACCACTCTCATAGGAAAATATTGACTTGACTTACATACTTAGATTTGAGTTAAGAACTGAAAAAACCCACGTGGGAGGCAGGGAAAGTGCAAAATTTGAACTTTCAGTTAACTGTTGGCCAGTGAAAAGGGTGCCTGACTGCTTCCTCACTCCTCCCAGCGTTTAGAGAGAGGATTGGGAGACAGTCTTCGGACTGCCTGGTACTGTACTGCCTGGACTGTATTTTCCCTGCCTTCCCTGAACCTTTCTTGACCTAAGAAAAAAAGAAATAAAATATCCCCCTCTAGTGGTCGAAGGCAGAATAGCAGCTTCCCATTAGTTTCTATGGACGGAAAAGAGCAGATACGGATCAAATGGTTTTCAATGCGTTCCTATGGGAAATGCAGATTTGACCTGAGAGCTTTTTGACTTGAGAACCACCTTCCAATACGGATTAAGTTCTCCTTTATGCCAATAAAGGTTTGGAGAAAGAAAGAGAAAAGAGAGGATTAAGTTCTCAAGTCAAGACCCCACTGTATTAGAAAAGATCATCAAGTGTAAGGATGAGTCACTGGAGTCCAAGATCATCCACTCTTTTGTATTCCTGATTACCACGTATGAATGTCAAAGCTGGACAGTCAAGACCCTAACAGGAAAAAATGATTCATTTGAAATATGGTGCTGGAGGAGAGTTTTGCAGCTACCTGGGACTGCCAGAAAGACAAACAAATGGGACCTAGATGATATCAAGCTTGAACTATCAGTGGATTCTCTGGAAAAGGCAGTAATGCTAGGAAAGATTGGATGCAGCAGAAAAAGAGAAACATCAAATGTGAGATGGATTGACACCCTAAAGAAACCACAGGTTTGAGTTTGCAGGAGTTGACAGGACATTTTAGAGATTTCTCATTCATAGAGTCTCCATAAGTTGATGGCACACAACAACAACAGCAACAGAGATCCCTTCTGTTCAAAATGGCTGGTTCCCTGCTGCATTTGGGAGTTCTCTGTACTTTGCTGAGAAGGGTCCTGCATTTTATTCAAGGCCTACTCAGATCACAGTCTTGTTCAGAAATCAATACTGTATACCACTGGTTCTTAACCTTGGGTTACTCAGGAGTTTTGGACTGCAACTCCCAGAAGCCTTCACCACCAGCTGTCCTGACTGGGGTTTCTGGGAGTTGCAGTTCAAAAGCATCTGAGTAACAAAGGTTAAGAACCACTGTTGTATACGACATACAGTATAAAACCTACATCTTTGCACCCTTCTCCTGCAGCTGGTTTTAATTAAATTTTATATGTTGTAATGCTCTATTTTGTGGTATTGGTTTAATTTTAAAAATTCTGCTGTCCTTTATCACAGATTTATTGTATGTTGGCAAAGAGGGAAAAACACCCCCAGAAAGTTAAAATATTGAAGCATTTTAAAGATTAGCATAGCTGCTTCTTTAGAAATTGCTACAAAGGAAGGAACTGCTTTATTATCTTGTTTTATTCCATAATTTTAACAGATTTTGTAGGCCTCAGACAACATTGATTCACGGGCAGTTTAAATTGCAATAAACAGATAATTAACTATGGGAAATTACTGTACTATCATGGAATGCAGTGATGACATTTGTCTTTCCAAATACATGGATGAATTCTGAATACATGGGTGAATGGTCTTATCAATCCTTATTAGTCATTATTACTAACTAAAAGGAACTAATGTACTCAGAAGCTATAGAAGCGCAAAGCATTGCTATGTTCATGTCCTGCTTGCTTATAAGCATCTTGGGGGCATCTGGCTGGCTGCAGTAGGAGATGGGGTGTTGAAACAGATTGGCTTCTGTTCAGATACAGCACGAGTCTTTTTATAAGGATTACAGTGGTCCCCCGTATAGCGACGATAATCTGTGCAGCAAAAATAGCTGCAAAGCGATTTCGTCACTATGCGAAAATAAAAAGCCCATAGGAATGCATTAAAACCCGTTTAATGCATTCCTATGGGCTTAAAATTCACCTTTAAGCAAAAATCCTCCATATGGCGGCGATTTTCGCTGCCTGATAAGTGAGGAATCCGGGCGAAAACACAGTGGACGGCCATTTTTTCCTCTGGCGGCCATTTTGGAACCGCCAATCAGCTGTTGGGAAAAAATTGCTATGCGATAATCGGTAAGCGAAACAGCGAACCGATCATCGCAAAGCGATATTTTCCCATTAAAAACATCGCAATGCGATCGCAAAATCTTCATCGCTATGCGGATTCGTCGTTAAACGGGGCACCCATTAAGCGAGGCACCACTGTATAGTTAGACATATGTTCTGTATAATTCAGCTGACCCTTATGGTCCTGCCTCTCTGAAGATGCCAACAGGACTTTAAAATAGAGTGATTATTTGACCCACACAAGTCCTCTCTGAAGAGTATAAAATATTCTCCTCATAAAATACCAGTATACACAGCATAGGGTTTGTGTCCCAATATTATAGCTGTCATAACCAACGCAAGGTGGAAAAACAGAATATTAGTAGTACATCATTGTATAGCTTAAAAGTGCAGTGCATTGTTTCGGGTTAGCACTAGATCTGAGATAGGAGAGGAAAATAGTCATCTGAAATCTTGAATATCTTCTTGCACTCAAATACATAGTGCTTGTATAAAATAGATTCAATGTCAACCTAACAATAAGGCAGCAATTTTTTTTCACATACAAGGAAATTATTGTACAGGTATAAGTTTTGTCCATACTAGGTGCTTAATTATTTTAGATGATCTTGTGTTTCACTGCTAGTTGTTCACCTTCAGAAACATACTGAAGGGAATGAACCTTCTTGTGTATAAGATTTACTGTTATATTAGGATTTGAGTAATTGTTGCAGTAGCACTAATTTTTAAAAAATAATTGGACACAGCTACTAACTTATGGCTTCCTGCCCTCTCTTTTATGTTCAGTAGTTGTAAATTTACGACTTGCGTCACTGCCAGTCTCTGACGTACTTTGGGACATCAGGCTTTGGTATTGTTTTTTCCATCATAATAGTGGTTTCTCTGTCTTGGCTTCCAAATAAGTATTAAGTTCTTAGTGTATGTTTTTTTGAAAATGACAGTCTCTAATCTGAGCAAATACACATTTGGCTGGAAGAAGAAAGATAATTTTATTTCCAACTGTTTGCTTTGGATTTAGTCCTGCTGACATTCACAACGTATAGCGAAGGGTTGCAGTCATAGACATATGTGCTTGGAAACAAGTCCTCTTGTTTGAAGCATGGAAATGGAAAACTACTAATGGATTCATAAAACGTCTTTAAGTATTTGGTGCCGTATGGCCTCGCTGCCACTACACCATGAACCATGAAATCAGTATGCCCACTTCCTAGTTACTGAAGGAAATCAACTTGGATTAACTTCTGGTCAAACACAATTTGGAGTTAGGAGTGAAGCCATTCTGTTCCTGGAATATCCAAAGTTAAAACTTAAAACTTTCTCAAATATTTTGCAATACAGTATTTTGTCTTTTAAAGTTCTCTTGTTCCTTTAAAAGCTGTTATTTGATTTTCAATGTGCACCCATACATAAATATGGGAATAATACTGAAACGATATAAGGACAGTTGAAAGCATGTATCTAGTGCTTTGAATGTTTAGTTTTCTATATGAATGCTAAATATTGTTACTTTCTCTCCTTTCCCTATGGCAGCTATTGGACGACTATGTGAAAAATGTGAGTATACTTTTTACATAAAGCATATATTCCATGAGGCTACATTTTTCTGCTGATCTCATAAAATGCAAGCTGAGTGAAGTGCATTTCAAAATGTATTAAATAAGTAATTCACTTGTTGTTATTTAGTCATTTAGTTGTGTCCGATTCTTTATGACCCCATAGACCAGAGC